ATAGCAAAGGTCTTTTCCCTAAGGTGGAAGAGTTCAAAACTAGGGGGAATATATTTAAAGTCAGAGGAGAAAGATTTAAAAAGGACATGAGGTGGAACCTTTTTACACAGAAAGTGGTTCATGTGTGGAATGAATTGCCAGAGGAAGTGGTGGATGCAGGTACAGATACAACGTTTTAAAAATATTTGTTTAAGTCCATGAATAGGAAAAGTTTGGAGGATATGGGTCAAATGCATGCTGAATTATTGGAGGGACTGGGCCCTGAATGCTATCATAGATAGATGTAGAAGCTACTGTGGAAGTTCATCAATTGCTGAACCAAAATTAGTTGCCATTAGAACATAAAAACACAAGAAGTTGAAGCAGGAGTAGGCACATCAGCCCCTAAGGCCCAATCCACTATTTGATACAATAATGATAGATCTCATCCTGGCCTCAACTCCACTTTCCTGCCTGCTCTCCATAATTCTTCACTCCATTACTAATTAAAAATCTACCTCCTCCTTAAATTCACTCAATGACCCAGCAACCACTGCACTCTGGGCAGAGTCTACAGATTCATAACCCTTTGAGAGGAGTAATTTCTTCGTTTAAAGTCTACTACCTGTTATCCTACAACTACAACTCTCCTTCTAGATTGTCCCACATGAGGAAACATCCTTCATACATCTACTTCAATCCAGAGAATAGCCTGTGAATTAACTCCTGTACAACTACATCCCTCCTCCATTTCTTTTGCAATAATTGCCAAAATTCCATTTGCTTTCCTTATTATCTGCACGCTAGTTTTCTGCAATTAATGCACAAAGACTTCTAGATCTCTCTGCACTGAAGTAACTGAAGTTTCTCTCTATTTAGGTCATAAATTGCCTTTCCATCCTTCTGACCAAATTGAACGACCTTACTCTTATCTATGTCAAACTTCACCTACCAAATTTTGGCCCATTTACCTAATCTCTCCATATACATTTGTAAATTTTTTATTTCTTCAATGTAATTTATTTTCCTAACCATTTTATAATGAACTGCAAATTTGGTTGTCGTATTTTCTATCCCCACATCCAAGTCATTAATATGATTCAATAATAAGTCCAAATTTTGATCCTCACCTGATCTAGCAATGTGGTTGACTCTGAACTACCCTCTGAACAATTTGGGATGGATAATAAATGCTGGCCTAGCCAGCAACATGCTCATCTTGTGAATGAATAAGAATTAGTCAACCATTATTTACCCCTCATAAAACCATGCTGACTCTGATGTATTATATTTTGACTTTCCAAATGTCCTTTTATCACTTCCTTAATGATGAATTCCAACAATTTCTCAATGACATTGATAAACTGTCTGGTCTGTAGTTTCCTTCTTCCCGCATCCCTCCTTTTTGAAAAAGGGCGTCACATTAGCATTTTTCCATATGGAAAAACTTCCATCTGGAAACTTTCCCGCATCAAGGGAATTTTGGAATATTATAACCAGTGGATCCATTATATCTGCTGCCACTTCCTTTAAGACCCTAGGGTGTAGGCAATCAAGCCCTAGAGGCATGTTTGTTTTCAAATCCAATAGTTTGTTCAGTATGGTTTCTCTAGTGATGATGATTGTTCTGAGTTTCTTTCTATAATCCCTGCATTACCTGCTCCAATTGGGATGTTACTAGTGTTCTCCACCGTGAATACTGAAGCAAAGTATTGATTTAGTGACTCTGCCATTTCTGTGTTCACCATTATTAACTCCCCACTCTCATCCTCCAAGGCAACTACATTCACTTTAGCTACTCACTACTGTTTTATATACTTATAGAAACATTTGTTTTTTTTTTGTATTTTGCGCTAGCTTTATTCATAATTAACCTCTGCTCTTTTTAATGACTTTTTTTTAGTAAACCTTTGTTGAGCTTTAAAAGCTACCCATGCTTCCAGCCAGCCACTCGCCTTTCAATATAGTATGCTGTAGTTTTTGGCTTTATATTTTCTTTAACTTCCTTGTTTAGCAATGGATGTTTCTCCCTCTTCTTACAATCTTCCTTCCATCTGGAATATATTATAATTGGGAGCAATTGAGTATCTCCTTACGCATCTGCCACAGTGCATCAACTGTCCTGCCTTTTAGGTATCTTGCCAGTCCACTCTGGCCAAATCTCTCATCATGCCTATGTAATTATCTTTGTTTATCTCCAGAACACCAGTGTGGGACTCAGTTTCTCACCCCCCAGCTGAATTTGAAATTCGAGAATGCTATGACCACTTTTTCCAAGCAAATATTTCCTGATGAGATCATTAATTAATCCCATCTGACTGCACAACACCAAATCCAGAATAACTTGTTCACTGGCTGGTTGCCTAACATATTGCTCCAAGGAACAATCTCTAATGCATTCAAAAAACTTTCTCTCGAGGCTACACTTGTCAGTGTATATGCATATGAAAATCATCCATGATTTTAATATGTTCATACGGTAGGGCATTTTGAGATCAAGAAAGAAGTATTTTTGAGTCTCTTGAAGAGCATACGATGCATAAGTCCCCAGGGCCTGATGGCCCTGGTTATTGAAAGAGGCAAGAGATGAAATTGCTGGGGCCTTGACCAAGATCTTTGTATCCTCATTAGCCACTGGAGAGGTCACGCAAGGACTGGCTGGTAGCTACTGTTGTTCCCCTGTTCAAGAAGGGAAATAGGGATAATCCAGGAAACAATAGACCAGTGAGTCTCACATTGGTGGTTGAGGAGCTGTTGGAGAGAATTCTTAGGGATAGGATTTATGTGCATTTGGAAAAACATGACCCAATGAGGGACAGCCAGCATGGCTTTGTGTGGGACAGATCATGTCTCACTAACTTGATTGAATTTTTTGAGGTGCTGACAAAGGTGATCATTGAGGGTAGAGCAGTGAATGTTATCCACATTGACTTGAATAAGTCTTTCAACAAGGTCCCTCAAGGTAGGCTCATCCAGAAGATTAAGATGCACTGGATCCACAGTGACTTGGCCGAGTGGATTCAGAATTGGCTTGCCCATAGAAGGCAGAGGGTAGTGGTGGAAAGGTGGTTGGAGGTTGGACGTCCACGACTAGCGGTGTTCAACAGTGATCTGTGTTGGGGCCCCTGCTGTTTGTGATATACATGAATGACTTGGATGAAAATGTAGATCGGTGGGTTGGCAAGTTTGCAGATGATACAAAGATCGGTGGAGTTGTGGATAGTGTAGAAGGTTGTCAAAGGACACAGCAGGATATGGATCGGTTGCAGTTATAGGTGGAGTAATGGCAGATGGAGTTTAATCTGGCTAAGTGTGAGGTGCTGCACTTTGGGAGATCAAATGTTAAGGAAAAGTGTACCGTTAATGGCAGGACTCTGAACAGCATTGCTGTACAGAGGGATCTTGGGGTTCAAGTCCATAGCTCCCTGAAAGTGGCCACACAAGGAGATAGGCTGGTAAAGAAGGCATTTGGCATGCTTACCCTTATTTGTTGGGGAATAGAGTACAAGATGCAGGATGTCATGTTGCAGCTTTATAAGATTTTGGTTAGGCCACACTTAGAATATTATGTTCAATTCTGCTTGCTACATTACAGGAACGATGTGGAGGCTTTGGAGAGGGTTAAGAAGAGACTTACCAGGATGCTGCCTGGATTAGAATGTGTGAGCTATAAGGAAAGACTAAAAAAGACTTGGGTTGTTTTCCGTGGAGTGGTGGAGGCTGAGGGGAGAATTGAGAGAAGTCTATAAAATTATGAGGTCCATAGATAGGGTTGACAGAATCTTTTTCCTAGAATTGAAATATCTGAAAGGAGGGGGTGTGCATTTAAAGTGAGAAGGGGAATGTTGAAAAGAGATGTGAGAGGCAAGTTTTTTTTACAGTGGTCAGAGTCTCTATTTGCACATTTAATTCACTAAAATTATTCTGAATCCTTCATGCATTCAGATACAAAGTCTTTAAATTTGTTCTATTATCCAATTTTCCTATTCTTGTATGACTCCTTGGTGTGACATGACAATCACAAATGGTTCACAGTGGTTTAAATCACTTCTGAAGTATTTAATTATGTTGGTCATTATGGATTAGTTATGGAAGATGCCTCAGAATCCATTTTGATTTTCATTTTTATTTACAAGCACTCATACTCTACTGTGTATAGATGAGGAGCAAAAGGCCTATCTACTTGCTTTCCTGATGCTAATGGCAGCTCAGAGAAATACTTGTCACTGAGATTAGCTACCCAAGCATGCACCAAATGTTAATCCTGGCAACTAAAGTTATCTTAAATAAAGTCTGTTAATGTTCACTTATCTGAGTGTAAAGCTGATCTTACTGCATTAATGCCGCATGCAAGTCAGCACCCATGCAATTATATATGTAACATATGAAATTGTCTCACAGCTTTCACCAATTTCAGGGTTATGTTGAATTTACAGCAAATTAGCATTCTGCATAGAAGCAATTAAATGCAGGAATCTGAAAAAGATAATGCAATATTGAATTTGCAAAATTCAATGTTATGATGAATAAAGGGTTAATTAAACAAAACTATGTTTGTCATGTAGAATATTATTGCGTCTGATAAATAGGCATGCTAATTTTGTCCCTTTTCTGACAACAATATAAAAAGCTTTTTCATGTTTACATGAACAGAGGACACAATATGATACGACCTTCTCCGGCTGCTATCTGTTGAATCGAGTTATATTGGACAAGAGTCCAGTTTTACAGCAACAGGAAAACGTTTACTTTCTGGTTGTCAAGGGACTCATTTCCTGAAAATGTAAATACCCAGAGGAGATACATATACTGGTCATGAATACTGCAGTATTTTGTTTTATGTAACTGATGGGAACCTCATACTGAACACTTTGTACTCGCAGAACTAGAAGTAACTGCGAAACCTGACTTTCTGGTTGTAGCCTATTTGATTGGTTGTTGGCTTGTGCTGACAGTGGTAGGGGTGTGTTCACCCTTACACTCCTTTTTTTCAGCTGTTTGCCTTACAGCAATAGGTTCTTTTGGAATTAATTTGCGCTATTGTGCCACAGTTAGTTTGTATTTTTACTGTCTCCCAAAATCGTAATTGCTTCTGAAGTAAAGCATCTGAACATACTGTTCAGAAAACCTTTTGTGGTGAAAATCTGCTGATATATTTGTTATCAATACCTTTTGACTCTCACAACGAAGGTTTAAAGCATCATTTGTCATTTGATTTGTTGAGTGATTCAGAGGATCTCTGTGGATGATTTTTGTAAAATAATGGCAGCGCAAGCAACAAGCCAGGACATTATAACCTCGCCTGATCCAAGAAAAGAATTTCGTCCAACTCCTTTTCTAAATGAAGCTCTTGTAAAAATCCTAAGTGGAAACTTGCTGGGACATGAAAAAGCTAAAGCTGCACGGAAGTCACCATCCATTTCACCCAGGTTATCTCCTAATATTTCACCCAGAAATTCACCACGACTTCTGCGAAGAATGATGTTGAATAAAAATCAAAAGAAACGTCGTTTTACGGTGGCTCATACCTGGTGAGAATTAATAAATTTAATCAGCAATAATAACCTATTTGCAGATTTAACATTTACATTTTATTTTGTGAAATTACATTGTAATCCATCATATGATTTTGTTTCACAGTAGCATCCTTTTGGATATAGATTACAAATAATTTCTTGTTTTATTATGAGAATTTCATTTATAATCCTTCCAAACAGCTTGCTAGATTTAGGAGATCATGAAATCCATAAAATCAAATTTGTACACATACCTTTATTGTTTCTGCAAAGTATAAGATACGAAAGCAATACTACAGATAATCTGGCATAACCTTTAATGAGCAGTCATCTTGCCAAAGATGCTTCATTTTTAAGTTTTTTCAGTGCTAAAAGTAATGTTCGGAATGATTGTGAGAAGGGAAAGCTACATAAAAATTATGTGGTGTATGTGTGTGTTCACAGGACTAACGGTGTGCTCTGTAAAATGATCTATCACTATCTGCAATCTTCGATAATTGGGAAGAATACAGGTTGACATCACTTCACAATTCTGACAAATTGTATCTGATTTTAAAACTGCTTGCTTTTACAAGAAATCTATTGTGCTGCCGGCAGCTGCTTTTGCATATTCTCCTCCTTAGAATTTCAGGATAAAAAGCTTTGTGAAAAATTGTATTCAGCTTCAAACTCCAAGTAGAGCAAGAATTTATTTACTGTTCTAAAAGGTCACCATTTGCATTTAGGAAAAACCAGTTTTTGATATGGAAGAATCGCAATATACATTAGAAGACAGTTATTAGGCAGTAGCAAAGATATTGCGATCAGAATCAAGTATTTGTAATACATACACAATCTGAGATTATACAGATATAATGCTGTGTGTCAACCTGGTGAACAATCATGCTGTTTCACAAAAACGAGGATGTATGTTCCTCTCCAATGGGTTTCTCAAAACCATGTTTTTGGAAGTTATGAATACAGCTAAAGAACTCAGTTCATGGGGAGAGAAACACCTTGAGCAGCATGCCATGAGATAGTAAGAGCTCAGGACTGGAACAGGGAAGGCCACAAGCAGATTAAACTCATGGTACTTGACTCAACAGTTTCCCCTTAACCTTGGAGCTTGTTAGTCTATTTGCTTCCTATAACTTGAACATTTCCATTCCAGTTGCTGGCTAACCTGCTGGTTTCAAGTACTACCTACACACTGCTTAGTTGCTTATTTCCCAAACTGCCTTGGAACCATGTGGCCCAATTAAAAGGCCATGTATAATTCCTATAATATTTTTTCCCGTTAACACTGTTACAGAATCAACATTTGTGATATATTGGGGTGGATTTCTGTGTGACTGATGCTGCTAGGTAGATAGGAGGAATGATCAGAAGGGTCTGAGAAAGACAATCTTGTAATTACGCAACTGTTTCAGTAGCTTCATGATATCCCTTTACAATGAATGAGATACTTTAAAGAGTAGTCACTGTTGTAGGAAATATAGCAACACATTTATGCACAGCAAAATCCCACAAAGAGCACCATGACAATGGTCAGGCAACCTGTTTTAATGATGTTGTTTGAGGAAGAAACATATCCCCATGACTCAAAGAATCCCCTTTTGAGACCCTAACATTGGAAGGCTTACAGTGGATCAATATGTGGTTTAAGGGGCTTTCAGCAGGTATTTCCAGTGATGAAAGATTATAACTAAATTAAATCTCTTTGGTCGTAATGAGACCAGCAGACAACCTCCAATGCCATGGTCTGCATTGCCTGTGATGGTCAAGGTCACCATCACCTTCAATGTTTATGACTCTGGCTCAGTCTCTGCTCCCACAGGGAATGTTTATATTATAAGCCCTTCTGCAGTAAACATTTGTAATAAACAGAGGAGTTTTCAGAAACATCTGTGGCCAAAAAATGAAGGAAGATACATTCAGTTAAGAGCATGACTCACCACTTAGGCCAAGCCACATTTACCAAATCAATGTGTCCTGAAACAGTTGTCACCTAAGTGTGCTATTTCCACTGCTTTTCTGCTTGGTGCTGTTGTCATTGCAAGTTTACTCTGAATATATTTCTTATTTGAGCTGTGTTTTTTTATAGTTTTGTGTTGCCTGCACAGTTGTTTCTTAGGTTAAAATATATTCTTTGCATCTTTGCAATTCTAGCCTACTTCTTCAAAGCACAATTTGAGTACAGAAAAACAGCAGAGATTGTGCATGACTTTATGGGGTTGGTGAGAATCATGCTTGACTGATTTCTTGAAGCTTTTTCAGCTGAATATCCATGGTGACAGTGGGAGGTATTGTAAATATCAGAGGACTGTTGTGGCACAGTAGAAATGTCCCGACTTCTGAACCAGGAGGCCTGGGTTCAAGTCCACCTGCTCCAGCAGTGTGTAATAACATCTCTGAATAGGTTAATTAGGAACAATAATGCAGTGAATGTTGTCAGGGGCTCTTGTGGTGAAGTAGTACCGTCTGCACTCTGAACCAGAAGATCTACCTTATCCAGAGATATGTCATAGCATATCTGATCAGATTGACTATAAGTACTTGTGGCATAGCATTAGAGACCTTCCCTCTAGACCAGGAGGCCTGGGTTCGGGTCCCATCAGCTCCAATGGTGTGTAATAACATCTTTGATAAGGTTGCTTCGAAAGTACATAGTAGATGTTGTTAATGATCATGTGGTGCAATTGTAATATCCTTATCTCTCTGCCAGAAGATCCCGGTTCAAGTTCGTCCTGCCCCGGAAGTGTGTCATAGAATGTTCAAACAGGTTGATTAAAAATAGCTGTATTGCAGATGTTGCCCATTTAGATTTAGCAAATCATTTTTGATAAATGCCACCAGGCTGGAAATCAGGCACAATTGAATTGACTCTGAAATAGATTGAAAATGAGCTGTAACAGATTGTACATGGTATTGGATCTATCGTGTGTTAGTAACTTATCTCGTGCTAAGGCTGTTGTCATTTGGAATGTATTTAAATGATTTGGTAACAGAAATCAAAATTCTGCAAATTTGTAGGCAGCACCAAATTATAGGGAATGCAAACAGTCAGGAAAAGACTGGCTCATTTGGGTGAATTGGTTAATAAATTTCATGTATTATTTAATGTGCATAAGTTGAAAGTCGTGGCACTGGAGAAAAATAATAACAGTGGCAATAAAATGTAAGTGTTTTAATGTACAGCATATCGTACAGAATTTGAGAGTAATGACAGAGATCACTGAAGGAGTCAGCACTCTGTGTGTCACAGATATAAAGAGAGAAAAAACAATGCTGAGCTACTTGGCCAAAGGAATAGGAATATACAACATAGGAGCATAGGAGTAGCAGTAGACCATTCAGCCCATCGAGCCAGATCTGTTATCAACACGATTGTGGCTGATCAGCCATTTCAATGTCTTTAACCCTCAATACCTCCATATGGACTTACATCATTGGTATTTAGAAATCTATCAATATATTCAAAGATTGAGTTTCCATAGCTCTCTGGAGCAGAATATTCCAAAAGATTCACCACCCTCCGAGTAAAAATAACTTCCCATCTTGATTCTAAGTGGTTACCCCGTTATTTTTAAACTATGCTGCCTGTTTCATCATACTTGCCTCAGTCCTGTGTTTTCCTTTAATATTGTGTAGATTTTAATGAGATTACCTCTCATTCTACAAACAGAGAGAAACTGCAAAGCAGGTTTCTTCAATCTCTTTTCATTGGACAATTATGTCATCCTGGGAACACGTGTGGTATTATTGCTCTCTCTATGGCAATAATATCATTCCTAAGATAAGAAAATCAAAATTGCATAGTGTACTCCAGGTGCAGTCTAACCAAGATTTTATAAAATTGAAGCAAGACTTTGATATTCCTGCATTGAAATTCTCTTACAATCCAATTATCTTCTGGGTGAAAAACTGTTTCCTGAAATCTATTCTAATCCTTCTGCTCCTTACCTTAAAACTATGACTCTTGTTATTGACCCTTCTATTAAGGAAACATTTTTCCCTATCTACCATATCTATAATGTGGAAGTGCCAGTGTTGGATTGGGTTGGTCAAAGTCATGGGGCGACAGGATGGCTCAGCGGTTAGCACTGCTACCTCACAGCGCCAGGGGCCCAAGCTTCATTCCACCCTCGAGCGACTGTCTGTGCGGAGTTTGCACATTCTCCCCGTGCCTGCGTGGGTTTCCTTTGGGTGCTCCGGTTTCCTCCCACAGTCCAAAGATTTGCAGGCTAAATAGATTAGCCATGGGAAATGTGGGGTTACAGGCATAAGGTAGAGGGATGGGTCTGGGTGGGTCGCTCTTTGGAGGGTCAATGTGGACTCGATGGGCTGATTCACCTGCTTCCACACTGTAGGGATTCTATGGAAAAAAAAGTCACACAACACCAAGTTATAGTCCAACAGGCTTATTTGAAATCACAAGCTTTTGGAGTGCTGCTCCTTTATCGGCTGAAGTCACTGCTCCGAAAGCCTGTGATTTCAAATAAACCTGTTGGACTATAATCAGGTGTCGTGTGACTTCTGACTTTACCCTATATATACCCTCAACTTTTACATCTCAATCAGATCTTCCCCTCAGTTTTGTCTGTTGTTGGAAAACGAACCCAAGCCTATCCAATTTCTCCTTGTAACTGAATCACTCCAGTCCAGGCAACATCCTCGTGAATCTCCTCCATAACCTCTCTAGTGTAATAACATGCTGCATATAATGTAGCAACTAGATCTGTACACAGTGCTCTAACTGTGGCCTATCTAACATTATATGCAACTCCATCGTAACCTCTTTACTTTTGTATTCAATGCTGTTACTAATAAACGCAAGTATTCTATTTTCCTTCTTAACTACCTGATCTATTTGTCCCATTGCCTTCAAGGATTTATGGGCACACATACCAAGGTTTCTCTGATCCTCTGTACATCCTAGAGTTCCACAATTTAATATGTACTCCCTTGTCTTGTTAGTCCTCCCAAAATGCATCACCTCACACATTTCAGGATTAAATGAGGGTTAAATTCCATTT